CCCCAAAACCCCAAAACCCCAAAACCCCAAAACCCCAAAACCCCGCTCATATAAGAAACAATTGGAAAAATCTTATTAAAGATATTTTAATAAAATGGAAAGCTGTGATCCTAATCCAAAACTCGAGCTCCTCCAGGCGTATGGCCTTAGCCTCGGAAATGTCACCCAGTTGAACAGATTTGCTATGGCTGAGTCTAAGCAGACTAAGGCTGAATATTCTGGTGTCAAAATTGGAGCTGCTTTAATGACAGAAGATAGTACGATCTACACAGGACAGTACATTGAAGACCTGATTTATGACAACTCTATCACAGCTGAAGACTTTGCTATCTATAAAGCTGTGGCTGAGGGAAAGACTAAATTTAAAGCTATGTCTATTTACTTTGAGAACAAGGACGGCAATGCAGAGTATACTATCCCTAATGGGAAATGGAGGCAAAAAATTCAGGAATATGGCCACTTCGTCTTGATCTGTTGCAGATCTGAAGAGGATTACATTGTCAAATCTTCTTCTTCTTTACTTCCATATTCTTATATTAAGTTTGATGCTGAGAAGAAATTATTCTTCCCTAATTCTGAGGAAATCTCTGAAGTTCTAGATGCTGCAGCATATTGGCTGAAAATCGATCATAATGAGACAACAAGAAGGGAAGTAGAGACTATGATGCACAATGAAGATATTACAGCTCTTAAGAAAGCTTTCTGCAGCCGTATTGCATTTGGAACAGCTGGTCTCAGAGGAGCTATGAGTGCTGGATACGCCAACATGAACTATGTCACAGTCCAACAGACAACACAAGGCCTTTCTAAATACTTACTTGAAGTCTTTGATGAGGAAACCTGTGGGAAAAGAGGAGTAGTAATCGGATACGATGGTAGACATAATTCATTCGGATTTGCTCATATTACAGCAGCCGTTTTCAAGCACTTTGGAATTAGAACCTACCTCTTTGATAGAATGGTGTGCACTCCAATGGTCCCTTATTTTGTCTCCAGATTCAAATGCGTTGCTGGTGTGATGATCACAGCCTCTCACAACCCTAAGGAGGACAATGGCTACAAGCTCTATTGGGAGAATAGTGCTCAGATTATTCCTCCTCATGATAAGAACATTCAAGAAAGCATTGAGAAGAATCTTGAGTTGGTTGACGTATCTGAATATTTCAACTATTTTGAAAGAAAGATTACTTACACTGCTGATAATTTCTCAGGTCAGACGATTAATAGATACATCACTGATATTGGTAAAGAATATTTCATTAACAAAAGGGAGCTGAACAAGTCATGCCCTCCCATTACCTACACTGCTATGCATGGAGTGGGTTACAAATTCATCGTTAAGACAATGGCAAGTTTAGGATTCCAAACTTTGAACTCAGTTAAGGAGCAAATAGAACCTGATCCTGAGTTTAGCACTGTGGCATTCCCTAATCCTGAGGAAGGAAAAGGAGCCTTGCAGCTCTCCATGGATCAGGCTGATAAAGAAGACTCTAGGTTCATCCTAGCTAACGATCCTGATGCTGACAGACTTGCTATCGCTGAGAAGCAAGAAGATGGGGAGTGGAAAATCTTTAAAGGTGACGAAATTGGAGCCATCTTGGCTAACTTTTTATTCCAAACCCATAAAAGAAAGGGGGAAGATGTATCGAAGTTTGCAATGGTAGCCTCAACAGTTAGCTCAAAACTCCTTCAAAAGATGGCAGAAATAGAAGGCTTCAGATTTGAAGAAACCCTCACAGGATTCAAGTGGATTGCAAATAAAGCAATGGAGCTTGACGATCAAGGATATCATACTATCTTCTCTTACGAAGAGGCTATCGGATTCTGCTGTGGAAACTTAGTAAGAGATAAGGACGGAGTCTGAGCAGCTGGAGTTATCTCCCAATTATACGCCCAACTCTGTGCAAATGAAGATAAATGTGGTGTCATGAATGAGTATTTACAAAATATTTATAAGAAATATGGATACTTCAAGACTCAAAACCACTACTTTAGATGTTACGATCCAGCTAAAAGTAAACAGATTTTCGATGAAATGAGAGAAGGAGGATATCCAGAGGAGTTAGGCCCATATAAAATCAAGACTATTAGAGATCTTACAGCAGGATACGATAATTCAAAGCCTGAGAATAAGCCAGATTTACCTATTTCTAAGTCTTCACAGATGATCACATTCACTTTTGAAAATGGGGCTGTGATCACCCTCAGAAATAGTGGTACAGAGCCAAAGCTTAAATACTATTGCGAATATTCCGATGAGACTCCTGAGAAAGCTAGCGAAATTCTTGATGATTTGGTTACAAACCACATGATTCCTACACTCCTTCAACCAGAAAAGTTTGATCTTGTATAGAAAACCATGATTCAATTTAAACTTTATAAAAAGGGGTTTTGGGGTTTTGGGGTTTTGGGGTTTTGGGG